GGGGTAGGGGGTCAACCTGTGGGCTTTCCGGTGGTGCCAGACTGGGGATGGGGCCACAGCTGCTACAGCCCCTGCAGAGCTTCAGGAGTGAGACTCTCTTTGGTTCTGTCAGTTTGCCAGGTGGCTTTCCAGACTGGTGTGGTCCACCTTGCTCCCTCAGCAGTCCCAGCATTTAGGACAGCAGAGCCTGGTCATCCCCCTTCCCAGAAACTGGCTTGAGAAACCAGGGGACAAAAGTGCTGCAGTGGTAGAGGGGGCCTTCACTGGGGGCTGGGGCGGAGCGGGGGCTTACTGGGAAACATGGGCTCTTTTCCCAGGCCAGCCCTGCAGTTGACCTGGGCCTCAGGCTGCCCAGTCACTGCCCACCCACTAATGACTTTAGTTCTTCATTCAGGGGGTCATCAGACACCACCTAGGCCCTGCCTAGACCTCAGTACCCCACACCCCTTCCTTGCCATGGCCTTCAGTTTGCATGAGGTTAGCCTCGGGCTTCTTCCTGGTTGCCTCTGATTCACTTTCCTGGCTCTGGCCGGATAATGGTTTGGGGTTTGGCTGGGCCCTTCTGCTTGCATACTCAAAGCCAGAGTTCCTGACCCTGCCCACTAACGAGCACCCGCTACATCCCAGGGCCACTTTCCCCTCAGTCTCCTACCTGGCTCCTCCCTCCAGCCAGAAATCCTTGAGCTACAAAGTATCTGAATCCTCATCCTGGCAGAAAGTGCCTGGCTCTGCCACTTTCTGCTGAGAACAGCCAGGCCCTGGTAGCATTCTGGGTCCCCTGTGCCTGCCCAGAGGGGAGCTGTGTGTGGCCTGGGCACCATGGGACCAGCTGGCAGGGACAGCACCAGCACTTTACTTAGGCGCAGCCTTTGGGAGTCCAGAAGGTGCTTTTGGGTTTTTTCCTGCATTTGAATCTCAGAGCAGGTATACATGGCTTGTATTCTTAAACCAGTTCTAAAGATGAAGAGAAACCTGAGGTTCAGAGAGGTTAAATACTTGCCCAAGTTCACACAGCTAAGCAATACGAAGCCTAAGCCAATGGCCTAAGTTTTCTGGCTCTGAATCCAAAGTGAATGTTGTTTCACAGATACGACACTTCTGAAGTGGCCCTGGCAGCACATGAAGCCCAGGAAAGGCCTGCTGAGATTCTCTGGACTTCCTTGCTGGGTATCTCCTGTAGACTCTGGAAAGGCAGGTGAGGGGCAGGGGTGTTTGCCTGTGTGTTTTGCTGACCCTTGCTTAAAGACCTTGAAACATACATTCCATCCACACACCCAGTTAGGGTGCTACCTAGCCCCATCTCCAACAGAAGCCAGGGAGACCTGCTGAAAATACCTCCTGTTTGGCTAATGAACTGTTGTTATTAGGTATACATTCCACTGACTGATACCAGGTAAGCCCCTAGAAAAGGCCATCATTAAATCTGGTCAGAATTTACCTTACTATACTTTTATTCATGCATCCAGTATTAACCTTTGGAAGCACATTTATTGAGCACATACTGTGTGCCAGATACTCTCAGGCAGTGGGATGCAAGGAGGGATGCAACACATTTCCTGTTATAGTCCATGGCCTGGTAGGACAGACGAATAAACAGGGTCTCAGTTGCACCCCATAGGTGCACTGGGGAAGAAGGAACTGAGCCAGGGTGGGCCTCTGGGGCCTGGGTCAGGCTGGGAAGGCTTCTCAGAGGAGGTGACTTTTAAGTTGGGACTTGAGGGAAAAGTAGGAATAAATTTCTTCAAAAACCTCTTCTGAGGAGCTTTTGACAGAAAGGAAAGAGCTAGCTTAAGGGAAATGATGAGGGATAGGATGGTAGTGGGGGTTCAGGGCACAGAGGAGGGCAACTGAGATACTTGGGTACTTAGTTCCAAGTTGGCTTAGTGCCAGCTCTGACCCTATAACCTTTGTCCCTTAAGTCCAGGGACCCAAATTTTTGTGCAGTGCTGTCCAATGTGACTTCAGTGGTGATGCAAATGTTCTATTTCTCTGTTATCCAACATGGTAGCCACATGTGGCTACTGAACTTTGAAATGTGGCTAGTATGACTGAGGAACTGAATAGTCATTTTGATTTCATTTTACTTAATTTAAACCTAAGTAACCACCATATCAGTCAGTGCAGCTCTACCTGTTTGTCACCATGGATCCCACTCAAATCACTTGAAATGTCTTTAAAAACTTCTGATGCCTAGTGTCTTGAGCCTCACCCCTGAGATTCTGATTTTGTTGATCTAGAGTGGGTATATCCATGGTGCAATATACCAGTATATTTGGAAACAACCCAAGTGAATTTCAGGTGAGGCAAGGTTGAAAACCACTGATTTCAAAACTTTGTCCACCACTCTCTCTCAGCGATAGGGAGGCCCCTCTTGTCATAGCCTTGCCCAGGGTGTGTGGGGGGCAATGCTGGGCCTTCACCACTCTGGCCCTTCTCAATACCCCTCTGCCCCAGAAGGATGCATGCTCCATCTCCTCTCCACTCCCAGAAGGAAGATCAGGGCTTAAGGCCACTCACAGAGCCCGCTAGCTCTCTTCCCCTGCCAGCCTCGCCAAGTTCCCTGCCCAGAGATGGTGCTCATTCACCTCAGAGCCCACTAGGACCTGGACAGCAGGGGTCAGTGGTCCAGGAGTCTCGTCCTTGCAGCCCCCTTGGGCCCTTGGATGGAGGCCAACCAGCTGTTTTCCTGGGCTGGGCTAGGCTGGGCTGGAGCAGGGGCTGGTGGCCAGGTCTGAGGTTTAGCTGGTTTCTGTCTGTTTTCCTATTAAACAGATATGCAGATAGTGTATTTGGGACAGTGATAATGCAGGAAGTTTTGGTAACAAGACTAGAACTTGGAGAGAACCCTCCTTTCCCACATATCTTGAAAAAAGCTTTCTGAGCTGGGGCTCACCCAGCAGCTACTGGCCACCCCCCATTTTTGCCACCCACATCCCAAAAGCAGCTTTTCCCATGACTCACACATGGCAGCTTGTGCACTTCTTTTATTATTAAATATATAAGCAGCTTCCTATTTTTAAATAGATATTTAAATGACTTCATATAAAATAATTCACCACTTCCAAGTATAAAAACAAAATCTCACAGTGTGTGAGCCAATGTTCCCTCTTGGCTTCGCAGAGAAAAGAAGGGTTCCCGTGCAGGTAGCCGAGGAGCCACCCAGAGAGGGCTCTGGGGCCCCTCCTGCTCCCATGTCACCAAGAGCCCACAAAGAGCTTCTGCAATGGGTTGGATTTGCTTTCTTGACTTTTAAAATACTACACGTTTAAGGGGTGGGAAGTGAGGGAGGAATGCCTTTTTTCTGTGTTTTTTTTTCTTCCACTTTTAAATACATATTTTTTAGTATCAAATATAGAGTCTGTGACTGAAAAAAGGAGCCCCATGGGGAAAGTTCTTCACTGCCCCTCCCACAGCTAACAGCAACAGGGCAGGGTAGGCAGGGACCAGCAGATCCTCACGTTCAAGGACAGGAAGGGAAGGTCACGGGACCCGGCCCAGTGGCCAGGTAGGACAGAGTCTCTCTATGAAGGGCCCAGGGCAGCAGGAGAGGAGGGACACAGCAGCACAAAGGGACCAAGGGCAATTGACAGCCCCGTCACCTGCTGCCCAGCTCTCAGAGCCGAGACCAGGTAGCTGAGGCACTCAAGGCAGACTTGGAAACAGATGCCTGGACTCTCCCAGTCCCCCTCCCACCCTGGCTCGCCTGGTCAGAGAGAAGTGCTAGTGAGGAGTGGGATGAAAGCTGGAGGGTGTCACTACCTGTCAGGCTCCTAACAGGGACAATCGCTCAGCCCAGGTGTCTGCTGGCAGCAGCCTTGGAGCTGTGTTTGGGGCAGGGGCCTAGTACAGGCAAAGGGAGTGGGCAGAGGGGGTCGAGTCTGCACCCCTGCCCCAACTTCGGGGGCATGCCCATAATTTCAAAGACCCAATTTCAGTCAGAGCTCACCCTGCAGCCTCTCTCTGTGTCTATCTCTGCCCTCCTTTTCTCCCTCCTACCAGTCTCTTTCCTCTTGGGAATGTCAAAGTGCAAGATGCAGAAACCTGGGTGAACAACACAGCCTAAAGACCAGCTCCGGCTGGTGGCCCCGGGCAGTTCTCCCACCCTGATCCACCCCAGGAAGTCAGAGCCGGATCAGCAGAAGGTCAGGGCTCAGGGGCTCCCTCAGTCGACAGGCGAGGCCGGCTCGGGCACTCAGTGCAGGAAGCTGGGGAGAGGCTGGAGGGGGGGAGGACGGATGGGTGTTTGCTCTCTGGGATGGATAGGGCAGGCTGTTCAGCAGGCAGGTTCAGTATTCACAGTGCAATGGCTTCCTTCGTGAGGAGAGCCTCTGCGTGGCCTCCCGGAGAAGCTCTGGCAGGGCTGGGGGGACGGTGGGGCAGAGGCCAAAGTGTGGTCTTCCCCTTAGCATCACGAGCCAAGCCAGGCAGGTCCTGAGGGTAGGGTTGGCCTCCCTTCTCCGCCTGGCCACCAGCAGAGAGCACTTAGGCAAGTGGAGGGCGCAGACCCGCTCCAGGCTGTCAGTGCAGACCAGCAGGCCCAGCAGCCTTCTCTTCCCGTCTTTTGGGCTACACACCTTTACAGGAAATCCAGCGACGCTGTCCCGCTCTGCGAATCTCATGCTTCTCTCTGGAGACAAGTCCCTGCTTGTCGGTGTTGGGATCCCTTGGCACCAGGCAGGTCCTCTGGGTACAAGGGCTTTTCCATTCCTCAGCACCCACCCTATTCTCCCATGTCCCATAGGCCTCTGGGTCCCTGGCCCAGGTGTTGGCTTGGAGGGGAGTGGGAGGAGGCCACAGCCCCTGAGGGGCAGAAGGTCTTCAGCCGGGCTTGCCAGCCTCCCTCAAGCAGGTGGGAGCCTCCAGGGCCCCCGATAAATATCAGCAGCGTGGGGGGCATCCTCCAGCCCTCTCTTAGTCAGTCCAGAGTCTAAGGGTCGAGGGTGGAGGGGCCCCAGCCTGGCTGATCTGGTCTAGTCCTGGCAGGCAGGAGCTCTCGCGGTGGGCAGGCCACATTCCCAGAAGAATGGCTGGGAGGGGTGGTGACGTAGGCCCCATAATGTCTCCTCCCATGGAGAGACTGTCCTGTGCGCCCAGCTGTAGGAGAGAAAAAGAAAGCCTGGTCAGCTGAATGGGGGCAATGGGACGGGTTGCTGAGGTCAAGAGTAGGGGAGGCAGAGCGTTCTTGTGGGCTGTTGGTGGTGTGCAGGCAGGACTTCCATCTTTTCCCTCGCCTTCCCAGCCGCCCCAGACACCACAAGGGACCAGGCAGCTTTCTCTGGCAGCAGCCCAAGCCACTGGGCAGACTGGCCTCACCTCCTACCTCCTCCTGGGGAACCAGGGACCACAGGAGAAGGTAACAGGGCCTGGTGGAGGTCTGAGCAGAGCTGGAGGCGGGGACACTGCTCAAATGTGTGTGTGTAGGGGGTCTGACAGGGAGGGAAGGAGGCACTTAAGTGTCCTTAGGCCCCTCATCGGGCAAGACCATCTCACTATCTTTGGTCCAAAAGACCAAGAGTGAATCCTGCTAACTCTAGCAAAGAAGAGGAATTTTCCATTCCCACCTCCACAGCATTCATCACAGAGGGTCATCACAAGATAGTCAGGACAGCAGGGCAGAGGTATCTGAAGGGGAAGAACCAGAGGCAGTTCCGGACAAGGAAACTCCCGCCCTGCCATTTGGCATGCTAAGCCCTAAGCAAACCAGCCCCCTTCCGGATGGGCCAAGAGACTTGCCTCCCTGCATCATTCATAGGAGTCAGGGCCCTGCTCTCTCCAACCCCTCCCCTATCCTTGTCCCCTTGCCCGGCATCCTCGGAACGCTTTGTTCCCAGAGCAGAAATCCCCTGGACTCCATCCAACAGATTGACTTTGGACCCTGTGTGGAGCTTCCCTCCCTGACTGTCCATAGGCCCTACTGGCAAAACCCGTGATGGGTAAGGAGGAAAGATGGGACCACAGCTTCTGGCTCCCAGCCCATTCCCATGCTCTGGAAGGGGAAGAAGGGAGGACCATAAACTGGACATGAACCATACTGGGTACAGCCGGGCCACAGGCCCTGCTGGTGCCAGGAGGTAAGAAAAAGCAAGTGGGTGAGCTCCAGCCCACTGTCCCAATGCCCTGGTTTCTTGGAGTGGAGGGGCTGGGGTCCATGTTTTCTTTCTGAGGGTCCCTCTTTCAGTCTCTCTGCCTCTGTGTTCCCCCTCTCATTTCTTTCATCAGAAAAGCAGTAAATCTTGGGGCTGGCCCTAAGTCTCCCTGAAGCTCCTGCTGCCTGACCTGGAGACCACTTTAAGTCTGGATCCAAGTGGGGGTCTGGATGTAGCCCCTGCCCTGGGTTCCCCCTTAAGGAGAGGAAGAGGAAAGTTTGGGAAGGCCTGAAACTAGGCAGGCAGGGAAAGGAGAGAAGGAGTATAGAGGAGATGAGGCAGAGGGCCAAGACCAAGGGGGTAGGCGGGCAACCAGTCAGAGGGTGGTGCAGCATTGAGTCACAAAGTCCCCAGGGACCTGGGACAGTACTCTGCTTACCAGTCCTGAGGGGGTCTGCATCATCCTCACAGCCCTGCCAGTGTCCCATCTGACCCACTCATCCATCTTAGCCCACCCTACCGACAAGAGGGACCCCAGGATTCCAGATGTGTTACTTCTTGTGTTTTCTAAACAGGTTCTCCTGGTTTTGAGCATTTGGCAGATCCCTGATTTCTCTAGAAGTGGCCCAGGCCTGTCATTCCACATATGATAAGGCTCTGAGGCACTGGTTTGCATTTGGCATGGGGGTGTGACTGGAAACTTGAATGGGTTCACCCCAGCTAGTCAGCCAACCAATCAGCAAAATAGGCAATCAGACAGCTAGTCAGTTAGCCAATCAGCTCACCAATCAACTAGCCAGTTTGGCAGTTACTAGCTAGTTAGTTGGTCAGAGTCACCTAGCCAGCTAGCTAGCCAGTCAGAGTCAATTAGTTAGTTGGTCAGCCAGAAGCCTGGACACTTAGAGACAGCTGGCCAGGGCCAATTGGTCAGTCCTCAAGCCAATCAGTCATTTATTGAGTTCTTAGCAAGTATGAAGAAGCTCTCTCTGTTTAGGGCCTGGGGTAGAAAAAGAAATGCAAAAAAAAATAATAATAATAAGGAATTAAGACACAATCCCTGCCCTTACGGCCTTACGGGGCTTACAGCCTTCTTAGGGGTGTAGAATATATATGTGTGCATAAAATATGATTTTAAAATGTATAAAAATAATCCAAGTAAGTGCAAATTGATATAATATGAATCAACTACAAAAGAGCAGAGGAGTACAAACTAAAGGAGCAATTAAAGACTGATGGAGACCATCAGGAAGGGCTGATTCCTGCAGGCTGAGGGGAAGGAAGGGAGGAGGGTCATGGGGAGCCAGAGTGAGGGGTGATAAGAGTCATATGTTTATCAACAATGTGGGTGAGGACAACAGAAGGCACTCATCCGTGTGCAGGAGACACAATTGGGAGGGCTATGAAGACAGAATTAGAATTTAAAACAATTTCAATAGGCTCAGTGATGGGCCGGAATGAACAAGTTGCTTTTAACAAAGATGAACATAAACTTCTGCACACTGGTAAAACAATCAAGTTCTCGAAGTACAGGATAGAGAGAATCTGGCTTGACAGAGGTTTATGAGAAATGGAACTAGGGGTTTTAATAGACCATAAGCTCAACATATGACAACAGAAAAATGTAATCTTAATCTGTACAAATAGAAGAACGTTGTCCAAATCAAGGAAGGTAGCAGTCCCACTGTACTCTGAGCTGGTCAGACAGCCTCTGGAGCACTGTGTCCAGGGTGGGCGCCACATTTTCAGAGGGACATTGACAAACAAGTGTGTCCAAAGAAGGGTGACCAGGATGGTGAGGGGTCTGAAAACCATATCATATAAGGAATGCTTGAGGGACTTGACCACACTGACCTTAGAGGGGGGACATTCTTAAAGGGGGCATGGAGCTGACTTAAAATATTGGAGGGCTCTCATGAGAGGAGAAGGGAGGACCACCGGGGAAGGGGCAGGGAAGCTGGTTAAGCCTGGCGTATAGAAGGATTTCCCCAAGGTGCTATTGGGAAAGGGCAGGGAGCTTGCCTGGGCCTAAGAGTGTGTGACCAGAAGCTGGCTGACTCCCCATCAGGATGCAGAGAGGGGAGGCCCTTGTGGGGTAGGATGCTTGGCCAAATGACCTCTGAGAGCCCTTCTAAGACTAAGCCTTTATGGCTCCATGGATCTAAAAGCAGGAAGGCAAAAATGATCTTGGTTGGGAAGAAGGGTTAAATCAGTGTGCAAACAGAGAGCTGGCAAGAGGTGGATGTTAGGGGCCACTGCTAGAGGAGCTTGGGAGGTAAGCTGAGAGTGTTGGTTTTGAAGTGACTGGTGATGCAGAGCTGCTGAAATTCCCTAGGAGGCTGAAGACCTTACACAAGAGGAATTTGGTTGCTCTGGGATGGAAGGGGGCAGCAAGACTAGAAGCCCAATGCAGAAATGATAACCTGTCGCAGAAGTAACAGGGCCTGGCCTCAGATGAGGCAGAGGGACTAAAGGGACAGTGGGGAGACCAAAGGACCCGCGAAGGAGAAAGTTGGCCAGACCTGGTGATGGATTGAAAAGGGAGTAGGAGAGAGAGAATGGAGTCAAGTGTAGGGGCCTCAGGGGAGCTGGTGGTACCACCAGCAAGTGAGGGTGAGTAGAAAAGGGTGTAGCTAATTTTAAAGGGTGGAGAGAGATTCAGGTCAGAGTCTTACCTTAGAATTCCCTCTACACTGGCAATTCCACCTGTCTGTCCTCATCCTGGGTCAGGGGGCTGCGGGCAGAGCACAGGGCTGTCATAAGACTTGAGCAGAGGCCAGGGAGTGAGGAAACCCCCTAAGTTCATCCTCCAGCACCCCAGCCCCAGCATCCAGCCCTCTTCAGATTTAGAAGACCCAGAACTGCCTAACCCTAAGAAGAAATCAGGAAAAATCCCAGATTTCTAGGAAAGAAGGGACACCCCTTCATTCTCCCCACCCTCCATCCTGTTCTGAGCTCCATTTCCTTAGTGCAAACAGGAGAAAGTCTCCCCCAAATCTAGAGGGGAAATAGATGCCCCATGCCTACGAGAGCCTCCCCCCACCCTCAAACTCTCACCTGCCCTCTGGTTGCTCCATGGGAGAAGCCACTATCTGAAGCTCTCGACGGCTCTGAGGACAGAAAAGAGCAGGCTCTCTGAGGAGCTGGGGGAGGGTTGGGAGACCATGGCCCCATCCTCAGGCTGGGCTGCCCAGAGAGTATGTGAGAGAGTTACCAGTATCCCCTCTGGACCAGCCAGGGGGCTTTCAGAGGCCTCCTTGCTGGCAACGCCCCATCTCTTCTCCCCCTGCAGGTAGTCTCCTATCCTGGGGCTTCTTGGACCCCAGGCCTTGCAGAGCTCCTAGGGAATGCCCTCCCTGACACTTATACACATCATTTTCCTCCTCCATCTTCCCTCCCATCTGGGTTTTCACCTGCTGTGGCCCAAGAATAGTCTCTCCCACTCTTCTTCCCCAGTCCCTCTGGTTGATCTTGTAGCCTGAGCCTTCGCTGCTCTTGAAGAAACCCTCCATTTCAACCTCCCATCCTCTGTGCTCAGTCTCCTGTCTCTCAGTGTCTGAAGAACCCAGGCCAAACCCAAGTCATCCTCCAACCTATTTGACCTGCTCCTCCCCCCAGGCTGTGCCCTGGCCCCTACAAGATGCCCTCCTCTCCCCAGTGGGCTCTTCTTACCCGCCGCCTCCACCTGTAGAACAGGAGGCCACCAACAGCCAACAGGATCAGGATGACACTGGGCACCAGCAGGTGGTAAACAAAGCTGGGGAGCTGGTGGTCAGAGGGACCCTTGCGCTGCCTCTCATGGCCTGCGTCAGTCAAAGGAACGGAGTTAGAACGGGCCGGGGGCCTGGCCACCCCCTCACTTGCGTGTCCTCTGCGGTACTCTGTGATGCTCCTCCGATCCCTGGTGCTCCTTTTGCCTTCCAGCTCCTCCAGGGGCAGCATGTTGCCCCAGGAGTGGCTTTTGGGAAGCCTTGGCTGAGATGAGAGGATGGAGGGACTGCTGAGGCTTTGCGGGCGCAGGGCTGGGGTTCTGGCAGAGCCTGGCTCCTGGCGGTCCCTGGGTGAGGCAGATGAATGGTCCATCTTATTGGGTGTGTGACTCCAAGCCTCAGTGGGTCTCACGGGGCCCACCATGGGCAGGGGCATGCTAGTTACATCCCCAGGCTGCCAGCCTTTTGCCGATCCGGAGAGTGGTGAAGATGCTGAGAGGAAGTTGCTGGGTTTGGCGGTCTCTGCCTGGACGCTGCCTCCTCCCAGCCTGGAGGAGGGAAGCTCAGCCCCTTGGGGTATAGGACCCTCACCAGCCTCTCCAGAGGCCTCTTCCAGGACCAAGTTAGTGCCCAGCACAGAGTCAAGAATTTCCTCCATCCCAGTGATGGGCGCCCCGATTGGGGGGTGGGGCTGAGGTGAATCTCCAGTGGGGCTGCCCTCGATGCCTGGGGTCTCTGGCGACTCAAAGCTCTGACAGGTGCTCCTGGGTGGTCGCTGCTTGGCACGGCCCTGGTCCACTGTGTGAAGGGGCTGCTCACTGGGCAAGAGGGAGCTGCCCTCTGTTCCCTCAGAGTCAGCCCAGGTCAAGCCAGCCATAGGGGCCATGGAGGGGGTGAGGGGCTGCTGAGGGGCGACAGAGGTCAGGTCACTGCTAGGGGTGGCTTTAGGGTACAGGCAGTTGCAATCAGGCTTGGTCACCATATCTGAAAGAACCACAGAGAGAGGGAGAGAGAAGGATGGGAAGGAGATAAGAGTCACCAGCTTTCAGCTCAGCTTTCCCAGAGGGGTCAAGAAGGAGATATGGGTCGCGGGGAGGGGGGGTCCCTTCATGCCCTGACTCAGCCCTGGGACTGAGGAGAGGACAGGAATGGAGCCAATGCTAATGACACAGGCCTTAGGCAGGGAAGGTGCAAACTGCAGGAAGGTTCTTTGCAGGAAAGAGCAGAGTGGGGTTTAGACACACAGATTTGGGGTCAGGGTCAGGGAAGACCAGAGAACAGCCCTTCGTGGAGTTTGAGCTGGCCAGGTGCCAAGCCAGGGGTGACAACAGCCAGACAGGAGGTTGAGCAGTGGCCTTCAGGACTAACACAAGACACCCTCAAGCCCCAAAGACACTGTTGGTTGGAAAGCAGCAAGGTGGCTTCATGCATGGCAAGGGGGCCCCATAGCCACAGCCTCAGGGGAGAGCAGGCTGGGGCTGGAATGTGGCCAAGGCTTGAGGCCTTGGGATTGAAGCAGCGAGACTGGACTTGGCCATTGGCAGGTCTTAGGGCTTCAGCCCCCGCCTTGGGGAGCAAGGTTGAATGTAGGCTGGCCCACATGGCACAGGACGCAGTGACGAAGACAGGCAGAGAACACGTGTGCAACTGGGCCAGCACTGGGAGAGTCTGAATGATGCTTGGACTTCAAATCCAGCCTTGTCCCTTGAGGGGACACTCAAGGTATCCTGGGGACTTCTGGAGCCAGGGCGTCCTGGTGATTCGCAGCAGGGCTCCTGGAGCAAGGGCCCTGACTCTGATGGAGCCTCTGCTCTCTCCACGGAACCCCCCATACGTCCAGCCAGCCTGCAGAGCCGGTGGGGAAAGCCTCCATGCCTACAGGGCTCTTGGAGAGGCCCGCTTTTCCACTCCCTGATCTCACAGCCACCAGCGTGATCATTCTTGATGCCTCAACATGCAGACATACGTAGGTGTGCATGCACACACATGTCAGAAAAGACATGTGCCCAGGACCAACCAGAGGTACACGAAGCCACATATGCACACGAAACAAGCACATCTACACACACAGGAGCACAAATAGCAGCCAGGCTGCCTCCCAAGGATCCCCCCAGTCCCACGTGTCGCCTCCCAAGGCAGCCCTGTTACACATCCTCTTCCCCAACCCCGCACTTGCTGGCCCCTTTGGTGCTTACCTTGGCTGGAGCATTTAGCAAAGATGTTGTTGCAGTTCTTGCTGAAAACGTTCCAGTCCTTTTTAAGGAGATTTTTTGTTTCATTAAAGATATTCTTGATCTTCTCCAGCAACTGGAGAGGCGTCTCATGGAAAGTTCGGACACAGGCCTGGAAGGAGAGCAAGGCATCCCCTGATGAGGATGAGCATTGGCCCCGTGTCTCTAGGTTGTTTGTCAGACTCCCTTGGCCTTTCTCGCATCCATCTTCTTTTTCTCTTGTTTTCTCTCTCCCCTCTACCCTGGTTTTCAGGACCCCTATGTCCTGAAATAGTAAGCTTTATCATTTATTCATGGGTCCATTTAACATATTTATGTGCCAGGCATATGGTAACTACCTGGGAATCATGCACTGAGCAAGAGAGAGGTGGTCCCCGGCCGAGTTAGACATTGAGTCCAGCAGAGCTTCGGAATTAAACATATTGTTACAAGTGTGGTGAGTCCTAAGAAGACTGATGTGAGAGTTTATAACAGAGGGACCTAAATGAGGGCTCAGGGGGAATCCCCAAGGGGCTGACTAAGAGATGAGCAAGAGTTAATCAGGAAAGGAGGCAGGTCAGAAAGAGCTGTGCTGGTGGTGGGAACAGACTGTGCATAGGTCCTGAGGCAGGAAAGAGCCTGAAATGTTGGACGACGAAAAGAAGGCTAGAGAGGCTAGAGTACAGCCATCTAGGGGAAAGTCGTGCGAGATGCAACTGAAAGAGGTCAGCAAGGATCAGGTCCTGCAGAACCATTATTAACCTTACCTACAGAGCAAAGAGATAACATCTGAGGGGGTGCTGGGGAGGTCAGTAGAGCATGATAAGACTGGAATCTTTTAGAAAGATCACCCTGTGTGGGGAGGAGAATGGCCAGGAGGAGGCCAGGGGGCTGTGGGTCCTTCTCTGGCATTGGTGTGTCTTGGAAGGAGACGCGAGCCCTGTCTATGGAGCTGCTCTTTTCTCTTCTGCAAAGGGTGTGGGGAACCAGGCTCTCCACACACCCTGGAGCTCTGAGAAGCTTCACACGCTCCCAGTTTTCCTCCCACCCCTTGAACTGCTCCCTCTCAGCCTCCTTATCGGGCTCCCGCCTCCACCTGACTTCTAAGTGCTGGCACTCTGAGGGCTCAGTCCTGGGCCCACCCCTCTTCTTGCACCAATCTATGGCCCGCCGGCCGATGACTTCCAAATCTTTCCCTAAACTGAGCTGCATGGGACAAAATGAGGGGCTTTACTAGGTAGTGAAGTCCTTGAAGGCATCACTGGATGCCCAGAGGCTGTGCATAGGAGGCCCTTAATAAATGTTTACTGGATAAATGAGAGAATGGATGTGGGAATGGGAAGACCTGGGCTCAGCTCCATTACTCACCAGCTCAGCAACACAGGCCAAATGAACTATCCCTGTTTGGGCTCATTTCCTCATTTGTAAAGTCAAAACAACAATCCCTGCCAACCTCCCCGCCAAGGATGTTGTAGGAAAGAGGTAAGCCGGCTCTCCCACACTTTTCTTCCAAAATCTCTGTGTCCTTTGTACTTCACAGAGAAAACAGGAACCGAGGACAGAAGGTCCTGATGTCCACCCGTCTCCACAGAGGCTATGCCTTTTCACCTCCTGGGCTCTGAATCCCTCTCCTGCCAGCTTCTCAGGAGACTAGCCCTCTAACTTGGCCTGGAGTCTGGCCCCCCAACCCCCGACACTACCCCCGGCATCAGTGCAGGGTGGGCGGCTTGCTAAAATGCAGATACCCAGGCCTGCCCACAGACCCAATGACTTTCTAGTGGTGTGTACTGGGAACCTGCATTTTAAACAAGCTCCCCAAATGATCCTTATGAACCTCAACACTGGAAAATCACAGACTTAGTACCTCTTGCATTTAAAAATGTTTCCTCTTGCAATCCCACACTCCCTCTGGCTATCTCTCTCTTTTTCTGTGCCCTTTTGGAGCACGGTACCTCCACAGTGTTGTCTCCACGTCCTCACTTTCTGTTCACCTGGTCTGGTACCTGCCTCCAACAGTGACCTCTGCATTGCCAAATGCATCGGACGCTTTTCAGCACTTCTCTTGCTTGACTTCTTAAACCCTATTTGGTAAAGTTGCCTCCTTTTTCCATCCTGAAACACTGTTGTTCGTGGGCTCAGTGATCCCACACTCTCTTTCCTCCCACCCTTAGGCTGCTCCTCAGTCTTCTTGCCGGTCCCCTCCTCTGCCTGACTTCTAAATAAGTGCTGGGGGTCCCGGGCCTGTTTCTCTTCTCACAGTGAGTAATGTTATACATCCCCTGGCTTCACAGATGACCTACAGGCTGGCACTGCTTATGTCTGTATATCACTAAACTCAAGACCCATGTATCCAGCTGCCTGCTCAACATCTCTACTCGGTTATTTCACAAATATCTCAAGCATAATGGACCCCAACCTGAACATCTGCTTTTCCCCCAAATCTGCTCTGCCCCATTTCCGCATCACTGGATCTCTACCAGCTCGAGACAAAACCGTCAGCTCTTCATGGCCGCCGCATCACCAAGTGCTGTTGGTTCTTCCTCCAAACTTGTTGGAACGCATCCCCTTGCCTCCACCCTCACCCTGATCCATGCCTGAAATTGTGCCTCCTACCGGCTGTCCAGCCTCCATCCCTGCTCTCTACAGTCCATTCTCCACACAGCACCCAGAATGGTCTCAGAAGACCAGCTAGACTAGGTCACTCGCCTGTTCACCACAGCTTCCTCCAGCTCCACATCTATTAGGACACCAGGTGATCTGGCTCCCACCTCCTTCCCTCTCTCCCCTCCACTTCCTTGGCCATGCTGACCACGCTTAGGGGGTCCCAAATGTGCACATTCCTGCTCACCTAGGGCTTTGTGCCCAGCCTTCCCTGTTCTGGAATGCTCTGAGCAGCCTTATTGCTTCCTGATTCTTACTTATCTTTGGACCTCAGATGAATATTTTCTTACTCAGAAGCCCTCCTTGTCTCTCCTTCCCTACCCCTCTTTAAATCAGACTCTGGTTTCTCTCTCAGAGCCCCATGTGCTCCTCCTTCCTGCCTCACTCCCTCACCACCTGCAGGTCTTCCTCTCTGGTCTTCTTTGTACAGTGGTTACTGCCATCTCCACACCACGAACTCTACTTAGGTATTTTGTTAACTGTCTCACCACCCCCAAATGTAAGCTCTGCAGATGTGGGGATTTTTGTCTGATCCCAGCTGTGTCTCAGTGTCTAGAACAATACCTGGTACACAATAGGCACCCATTAACTATTTGCTGAATGAACACATGCTCCTCAAGGGTTGTAACTCTATTTACTTGTGTCATTGTTTCTTTACTGGCTGTCAACCTCACTTAACTGTAAGCTCTGAGGTGAGAACCATGTCTTTTGTGCTCATGAAGACATCGTCAAGGACTTGCACTGTGCCTCCTATAAAATGAGTCCTCAGCATAGGTTTGTGGAATGAATCCATCCATGCATGAGTGAATCCATGAGCGAGTGAACAAAGCCATGGGGTGAGGCCAGTGACTGCACCCTGAGCACATGGGCAGGGATGGTACCATCACACCTGCCCTCTGCCCTTACTCAGCACTCCCAGCTCCCGAGCCTTCCTACCCTGTCCTGCTCTTCATAGTCCTTGGTGAAGCAGCTCTTCAGCCTCAGAGAGAGCTCCTGGAGCTGGACAATGACATTGGCATTGGGGGTGTTGTCTTTGAAGCGCATGGTGACATCCATTGTGTCTTGCATCAGGAGAAGTGCCTTCTTAAGGTAGCACACGGAGTCATTCTGAAAAACAAGAACCTGGAATTTATGATCTGGCTGATGACAGCTGGGAGCCCAGGCTCTGTGCCAGAGATGGAGGGCTGCAGCCTGCCCTCCTGAGGAGAGGGGCCACGCTACCCCGGTAAGAAGGAGAATGCTGCCCTCAGCTGACTTCCATTCTTGGTCTTTGGGATCTGGCACTGCTGAGGATTATGGTAGAGGGAAGGAGATGTGGATTCTCATTAGAGAGATCTTTGGATTTCTGGAAGATGAGGCTTTAATCCAAATAGGGGTACATAGCTAGGGTGGGTTCTGGGGAACTTCTCTTTCTCTGTCTCTGTCCCTCTTGGCTTGCTTTCACAAAAAGTCCTTTACCATATGGCTGCTTCTAATCCTGCAGGCCATAGGCATACTGGACACTACCTCAGGGTCCAAAGAATAACTGCAGTGTTTTGTTTCTCTAAAGAGATAGTGGTTGCCTCAGTGAAGACTCTGCTTTAGCTCTGTATACCTAGCACCTGGTCCAGAAGGGTCCTAGTAGTAACTGCTTGCTAAGGCATGAGAGTGAGTGAGTGAGTAAGTGAGTAGAATACCGAGGTTATTCCTTGGACCATGAGGTGCTCTCCAGTTCTAAGAGAAGTGTGTATGGGTCAGGTGTGCAGAATCTCAGGGGTGGGAGTAAATCCTGGGCATCGTGGCAATTTTTATGAGGCACAAAGATGAGCAGAAGTGGAATAAAGGCTGGGGTAGGGGCAGTTGGGAAGGCATAATAGGCATCAGGAAGAGCTTGTGCAAAGTCTTGGAGGCAGGCGGAATGGGGAATACGGGTAGTGGGTGGGGCTGTGTGATGGAGACTGGAGCTTGTAATCCCCAGACTAAACAACCGAGGCTTTCTCCTGGAGTGCAGAAGTCTCCAGGTTTACAGGGGGCAGTAAAGGTAACAGGTTAGGGTTTAGAGAGCTCCCCCTAGTGGTGGGATGAGGGGTGCACTGGAAGCAGGGAGGCCATTTAGGAGGCTCTTGAAATTGTCCAAGCAGCTGATGGGGTGGAGCCCCAGAACCCAGAGATGCTGGGAGGCAGAATCAGCAGCACTTGGTGTCTGGTTGGGAATAGAGTAGGAGAAAGAGGGAAAGGGCTGGACTGGATCGCTGGCTGCTTGTCTGTCTGCTGGATGGAGGTGACATCCTTAAGCAAAGCATGTGACCCAGAAGTACTGGTTGGCCTTAGATCTTAGAGCCAGACTGCTTGGGTTCAAATCAGGCCTCCACCACTATGCTCTCAAGCTATGCTCTCTCCCTTTACCTCTCTGAGGACAATGAACAAGATTATTGAACCACATAGTCAGGATTAAATTAGAAAAGTGCCTGGCATGCAGTAAGTGCCAGGCCAGGAGAAGGTAGCAGCAGAGGACTTGAGCCCTGGGTCCAGCCCAGCCCGTCCTAGACCCTGGCACCCCAAACTTGAGGACAGGGGTCCTCACTCCCATTCCCTGCTCAGCTCTAGGATTTCTCCTGCCTTCATGCTCCCACATACACCCACCCTGGGAAGTGCACACATGCTATGACATGGGCTTTGTAAATAGCCGTAACTCACCAACTGCTCCTGGTCTACAAACTCAAAGGAAATTTGGCACGAGGTCTCCATCTGACTGTCAATCTGTAAGAGAGAGCAAGCCAGTGGTGGCAGGGTGTCTGCAGCTCAATTGAGCTTGCCTATGAGTGGGGACTAGAGTTTCTGGATGGATCTGGGTTTGATCCTCCTCCACCTCCCCGCCTCCTCACCCCAACCATACTTGGAAAGACAGAGCCAAGGCTAGGGGAAGACCTGTGCTTTCCACCTGCCCAGGGGAGGGTTGTAAATCAAGAAGGCTCCTCTCTCTACCTCCCACTCTAAGAAATCTGACAGACGTCAGCTTGTTATAAGGAAGAACTATCTAACAGAGGATATAGGACATAATCCTCTGTCCTGGAAGGAACTCAAGTGGAAGCTAGACAAGCGCTGGGGATTCAGGATCTGTAGGGGCTGGGGCTGGGGCTGGGTGCCCCTAAAGCCCTCGCTGGCCCTCAGAGCAGTGCTTCTGTGATTTTAAGCCTCAGAGAATGCTGTGGCTCTCAATCTACCATGGATTGCTGTGGCAGCTACATGCAGGAAGAAAAGTGTAGGGGTAAGAGAGGCAGCCGGAGGCCCAGCCTACAGGCAGGCCCTAAGCCCAGGGCGCTGAAGCTGGCTTTCGCCAGTGGTGCCTCACCCTGCCTGGCTGGCCAGAGGGATGGTAAATTCTCTTCTGAGCAGGACAGCAGTCATGACAGCAACCTGATTCTGCCTGGCTGAACCATGTTTGAAATTGCTGACAACTCTGCTGGCCTGATTAGAGTGAGGCATGGGCTCCTTCGTGGCCAGGGTGAGCAGGACATCCCAGGCCCATGGCTCGGACAAGAGCCAGGGCAGTGAGGGGTGGAGGGCCAGGAGTTAGGCGGAAGCCTCCCTTCCAAGTCTGGCTGAAGCCCTGGTGCCAGGCTGGCGGCCCATCTGGGAGTCCAGGAGCTAGAGGCAACATCTGGGCAGAGGCGGGCAGACTGGGCCGGCTCCACAGAAGAAGCATCCCACTGAGGGAGAGCAGGCCTCACAAGCCTTCTCAGAGTGCATGACCGACATTCCAGGCACCCACTAACCCCAGCAACCAATTGGAAGCCCACCATGTCCACTGCCTACAGGGGAGTCAGAGAAGGCTTCAGGATGGGGTGGATGGAGTGGTGGTCAGAGGCCCTGACCTTTAGAAGGCCAATGAGAGGAGCATCCTTTGAGCTGGTGGGAGCCACGCACCACGTCCTGCACAGTCCTATTTCTCTGCCGGTGCCCCTCTCTTTGGCCTTGCTCCCTGGCTCCTGCCTCCGTTTCCCCAATGGAGAGAAGGTAGGGTAGGCAGGGCTGCACACTCACCAGCTGCTGCAGGAACTGCAGGTGTCCATTCCCAATCAAGTGGCTACAGTGCTCCGACACCTCCTCGGTAGTAGTCCTGCTCGCCAGGAGACAGACCAGCAGCAGCAGAGGGCCCAGCCATGTCTGTGATAGGGAGGGCATCATTTCTCCCCAGCTCTCATGCTCCCTAGGAACCCCCCTACCCTGCTGAGGATGCAAAACCAAGGATCTCATCCCTATAATGCTACAGGCTTTCATCCCAGGATGCAGCATTCCCCAAACCCAGCTTCCTCAGGATTTCCTAACAGCCATGGGCAACTTTGCTCTCCTTGATAACAGCCCAAACACCATCTCCTCAGAGAAGCCTTCCTAGATTAACCCCAGGCCAAGCCTTATTACACACTGACCTACAGAGGACATGCGAGGTGTCTAGATGTCAACTACACAGGAAACTCCTTGAGTGCAGGACTTGCATCTACCAATTATTCTGCCCCTGCAACATCACTGAGCCAGGCAGCTTATGAGCTGCCCACTTTCTCAAGTTTATGTTCTTGCACTGACTGGCCTCTAGACTTGGAGCCAGAGACATTTCCCTGGGCCCAGCCCTTCCTCCTACCTGATTCCACACAGGTCTGGCTCTGCTACTGGAAAAAACAGGGGACCAAACTCAGTTTCACTGGGAACCTATCCCACACCAGACACCTTTGGAGCCCTGGGTATATGTGTCATAAAGAGCCTAACCAATTAATCAGAGGCAACGATGCCAGCTCTAGACTGTCCCTGGCTGGCACCTGCCAATCAGAGCCCCATTAGGCTCTGCATCCAGCCAGCCAGCTCTTATCATGGCAAGAACATTTTCTGAGATCTCTCCCCTCTTTCAGCCCCCTCCTGGCCCAGCAGCTGTTCACCCCCAGAGTGATGGGATGAACGCCTGACACCCTGTCATTCCCCTTCCTTCCTCCTTACCAAGGTCCCCTTAGCTCTGTCCCTGGCCCTAGTTCTCCCCTTCTCCAGCCAGAGGCAGTGAAAGACCCTGGGCTTTCTTCCCCCAGCTGGACATTGACTCCTGGCAGCTGATGCCCCCAGATTCGGGGAAATGCTGTCAGGGTGGGGTGAGAGCTGGCACCTTCCTGGGTTCTGGGCTCTGGGCTCTGCCTCAGTAACTCAGATGGCAGGACAAATGCTGCAAACAAATAGCACTTTGGAGACTAAGAAACAACCCACAAAATGCTGATTTACATATAACTAAAAGCCCAAATGTTTGTCAGCTCTTACCAGGGAGCAGAGGCCCTGGCTGGGCTCCAGGGAGGTTGCAATGAGGAGGGGCCTCAGTGAGGCCTTGACAGATGGGGAGAAGTTGATGGCAGAAAGAGGGAGGGGGAGGCCTGGAGGAAAGAGGCACATGATGGTCCAGTGCCATTCAGCACAGGGATCTGGTGAGGGTCCTGGTCTGACCTTGAGGAGGGAGAGTGTGGAAGAGGGAGGACAGTCATGGGGAGACATCAGGCCCTGTTGGGCAGTTGAGGAGGTAGCCCTGGATGGGAATGGCTGCCCAAGCCCTCAGGAACCTGCAGTTCAGTACCTGTGGGAGGAAACGGCCATGCAGAAGGTGTGTCCTTGCCCCAGGCTGGCTGCCCCTCAGGCTCTGAGCCCCCAGTGTGAATGGTATGGAGGAAAGGGCCTATGGGGAAGGGGATGCTCAGGAAGATAGCCTTGCCACAGGCACTTCAAGATATTAAGTTTGAGGACAGCTAGGAGGGGGCAATGCTTAATCCCAGGGCTGCCTGGCTTTTGGAGCTGTTTCAGGCACCGGTGTGGGGAGAGTACAGCCACCATGTGGGAGGCTAGCTTTGAAGGTGGCCAGAGAGGGGCCACCCCTGCACCTGAGGCCCTGATTGGGCCTCAGAGGAGGATCTGGACAGGCACCCAAGGGTTAACACTCTAGCTCGCATCTGGCTGGGCCAGCTCCTCTTCCCCCCTCCTTTCTTCCTCCCACCCACCAGCCTTGGCCTCTGGGGCAGCCACAAGGAATCTCTGCTTCAGGCTCAGAGAGATGCTGGGATATCTCAGCCTAGCTGTCCATGCTCACCTGCCTTCCATCCTGTTCCATCTTTCCCATCAACAAGTTCCCCAGAGAGACCTTGGCAAGAGTGCACCCTTGGGCTGCCCCTGTCTAAAACTAGCACCACCCTTTTCTTTCCAACTTTACTTCCCTCCTCTTTCCTCCTGGTCTCACCTCCAGCCCCTCTTTGTCTTGTTGCCTATTACCTCATCCTTCCCAATTTCTCCTCCTAACCCCATCTCTCTCTCTCAGGCTTTTCCTCCCCCTAGGATCTGCTCTTCCCTCTCATCCTACATGCAACCCCCTCCCTTATCCTCCAAATAGTTTTCTGCTTCCCCCCCCCCAAGGTTTCTTTCCCAGGGTTCCTCAGAAGCAAACCCATTGGGAGACCACTTACTGTTTGTTAACAGTGCCACCCTGCACCGTCTGGAGCTGCCAGCTACTGCCCACGGTTGGGGCAGGGAAGTCCCCATGCAGTCCCGAGCAATCTGCGGCCCCTGTCCACAGTTCTGCAACCCCAAACCCTCTTTCCACCACTTCTACCACCACTAAGCTCAGGATCTCCCCAACTGACTGAACCAGATTTGGCAAGATTTAGAGCTGACCCCATACAACTCTGGGACCCCGGCCCCCACAAAACAGACTTGACCTAGCCACCCAAGTGCCCAACAGCTTCTGCCTGTGAGATGGAACAGTGGCTTGCCCGGCTCCTTCCTTCTGCCTTGGCATTCTATAAGCTAGATGGCCCCTGAACTTTTCCTATCCAGAAGCGCCCTCTCCCCAGCAGGACCTGGAAGCATGTGTATGGCCTGCAAGGAATGCCCACTGGGAAGGCACCACCCTCAGCACAGCCACTCTGCCTGTCCTTTGGCGATGGCCGATCAGAAGGGAGAGAGAGGGAGGCCCCTGCTGACACGAAGCCTTTGCTCATGGCTGCAATCCCCTTTCTCCTGCTAGCGCGTGGCTCAGTGTGCCCCTCCGTGCAATGGGGTGAGCACCCTTCTCTTTCCCAG